ATGAGAATAGTCTCTATACATATTCAATCAAGGCTGCAATGATTCCAGTGACCTGAATCTCGGACTCGTTGAGATAACCTTAAGAATGAATCTTTAAAAGGTCTTCCAGTACGGAAATACTGTACTATTTAGAATATCTGGTTAAAATAGCTCGACCACAGTGGAGATGAGAGTTTCTGATGTGGAGGCTATCCAATTTTCGAGTGGTTTATACTCCGGCCAAAACTCATAACTCCATTAGGCCATTATCCGTTGTATAATGTCGTTGTCTGAATAGGGGATTGTTTTCAGATTGTGGATGGAATATTACGCTGCAGTTATATCCTCGGCTACTGAAAATACCGGCGGCATTGTCTCTGATTTTAATTTCGTTATTGACTTACGGCCAGGATCGATGACACAGAATTTCATACATTGGGAAGCCTGAAGTAGCCCAACTTTGTCTGATACCGCTCTCACATTGAGTCACGATATCAATCTTAACGTCCACTGACAATAAGATTTACCACTAGAAAAAGGGCTTCAATTAAGTTGGCTCTGCACTTCTCACGAAACGCTGTCATCAGTTCGTAAATGATTATGTTCGCCACAAGTTAGCCCTTCTCAGAGAAAGGTTAGATACGTACATGGTTGGCAAAAAATTAATTGAACTTTCTTATCCCCCTAAGAGAAATTCCTGTAGGCTCACATTTTCTTTGCGATGACTAATTTCGCATGAATGACGATACTGGCCTGCACGATGCACAGTGCATACAGCCCACAGTAGTACGGAAGCGATTGTTGACTGTAACGTACGACGCTCGTTCACCGAGGAACAACGTGGCATGCATTGACACAGATTGTTGGAGAATCAATGGAAATGGATGCGTATAAATATACCAACGTCAAGAAATTGAGATATACCCTCCCCCAGCCCCTGTAACCTATAACCCTCTAATTTTTAACCCTTACAAAAATCTTTGCGAAAATGATCAGGAGCCTGTGAAACGTCAAAGAACAAAGTTTTGGTGATTTTTGTTTTGTTAGTTTTTTGTCGTCCTTGGCATAGTAGTGACATTTTGTGAAAACTTCTGCAAAACCCAAGCGATACTTTCCAAGTTTTAGAGGGGTTAATGACCAACGAGCAGGCAGACCGACAGAAAAAAATGACAGTTTTTCATGATCTACAAGGAGAGCTGTTTGGTGCTATCTGGCAACTCCTCGTCAGCATGGCTTGGTCTCAGGTAGAACAACGAACAAGCTGACCAACTATCCTCTATCCAGAGTATAAGGTCTATCGGAATAAGACAGCACAAAGTACCATCTATTACCAGAGTTAACCATTGCGAGAATGAAAACAGCGAGCTATCTATTGGAACTGTATCCCAGTATATTACCAATTTGTTCAATAGTAAATAGACTGTATCTATTATAGCACCAGAATCGGTGGCATCTAGCGGCCACAGTGTTGAACCAGCTGACAATATCTACAGTTCCGACAGACAGATCGCAGTTTTTTACTCTTGCAATGGTCGATTCTGGTGATAGATGGCACTCTGTGCTGCCTTATTCGATATAACGTTCAGTTGTTAAAATGACAATATAATTCGCAGAATATAATTTACGTTACATTACATTATTATTCACCTAGGTTTCTGAATCTAGAGAGAGAAATGATACTTCTCAGTAGAAGGTTGCAGGCACTAATGGTGATTTCTCTGTCGTCGGTTACAGTCGGATGTGGAAGTCTTAAGGAATTCCCTTAAATGTGTTTTTTTTTTTATGGCACTAGGACTATGTCCCATTAACCAGATCCTTTTTTACAATTTAAACTTCTCTAACTAAGTAAGGATGGAATTGGACAGGGATACACTCTTCTCGCCTAAGGACCCATTAAGGCATTTTCAGAATATGACACACAACAATTAGGCCACGGTTAGGTAGGTAAATTACAGAGGATAGTTACACAGAGGATATCTACTAATCAAAACTAAAATTTTAACCCAGAGGTTTTCAAAAAGTCAATTATCAGAGACGTAACATCAAGTCTATTCAAAGCTAGAATGTGGAGAACATTAAATGGTGAGATAAGGCCTAAGCCAATCAGATTAAGATAGAGTCGATCACAGTATGGAGATAACTTCAAACAGCCAAAAAATAGATGATCCAAGTTCCCCTCAATGTTGCAGTGTTCACATAAGTTGGAATCAATAATACGGAATCTAGCTAAATGTGTTGGATAAGCTCCATGCCCAAGTTTTGCTCTAATAATCATAGATATGTATTTACGAGGAATTCTAAAATTTTTGTGCCAGTACGTTGTTGGGAAATCAGGATGTATTAAAGTACACCTCGTTGGGTTCGTAAAGCAGAATTCCTTCCATTCTAACGTCCAGCTTTTAAATAGGATTTGTTTGGATAAAATATTATAATCTTCTTTGGAAATTTGTGTCTGTAACACAGATCCTGTGTAGATGCTTGATTTTGCGAGTTGGTCAACTTTTTCGTTGAATACGATTCCACAGTGTGCCTTGACCCATACAAATGCAACCTTGCTTCCACTTTCTTTCAAGTGGCAGATCTTATGTTTTATTTGATTTATGTGACAATTGCTGGTCCTTGTGCAATCATAATTTTGTAAGGAGGAGAGAACGGAGAGACTATCGGAAAAAATTGTAAATTCTTTCAAGTGACTACTGCTTGCATGTTTCAGAGCTTGGATAATAGCTACTGCTTCGGCTGAAAAAATGGATACTTGGTCGGGAAGTTTAAAGGTGCCAACTGTGTCAGTACTGGGTATACAATATGCACATCCGGTTCCGTTCTGATTCTTGGATGCGTCTGTAAAGATCTGGGTACCCTACGCGGAATGCAGGCACACCTGGTTGAAAATGCGGATATTCAACAATGGGATGTCACTGTATTCTGGTATTATGATTACGGTGTTGGACTTTAGTGGGAAGTAGCTTTCTTCTCGGACAGAGATCAGATCAAGATGTTTGGGTGCTGTTATTTGAATCTGTCTGAAAGCACTGCATAGTGGGGGGGAGTTTTTTTTCATCCAATATTTGTTGGTCAGATCTTCGGCGCTGAGGTGGCGTAACTTTACCAGTGTTTGTGAGTCGGTAATCGTTTGTTTCACCAGGAATCTCTCTGCAAGCATTTGTCTTCGATGATGTAGCGGTGGTTCAAGAGCCTCAACTCTCATCGGTTCTATGGGGGACGTTTTCATAGCGCCTAAGCATATTCTTAGAAAGGTATTTTGAACCACGTCCAGCCTTCGCAATAAGGTATTACTGGCAGAAGTCAAGTATTGACCAAATATATGATCTGTAAAACATCAATGCAATTGTTTGGTCAGCCCCCCCCCATACTTTCAGCATCATCCGGAAGAAATTGAGGCCTTTCGTGCACCTGACGATGATGTTCTGTATGAAGCTCCTCCAATTTAGTTTTTTATCTAAAGTAACGCCCAGGTACTTAACTGTATTATACACCGTGAACGTATGTCCTCCCAGGTGTAGAGCGTCTGATATTTGGGTATTATGGCGAGTGAAGAAACAGGTTAGATTTCTCGCATGACAGCGTAAAGCCATTCTGGCTGAACCACTGGTTGTATTGATGCATGGCACTATCCAGAATATCTGTACAGAATGATAAGGCACGGTTTTCTATATAGATGTCGTCAGCGTATTGTATAATTTTGGAACTTGGATTAACTGTATGTAGGTCAGCAGTGTATATATTGAAAATGATAGGACTGAGGACTGCACCTTGCGGCAGGCCAGCAAAACTATAACGTGGTCCTATTTTTTTGTTTGTATTATCTCTTACAAAAACTGCTCTATTGTGATATAAGTTAGTTATGATGTAGCACAAATGAGGAGGGAGCCCGTATATTTCCAATTTTGTTCTCAGCAGTGTCGATCTGGTCATAAGCACCTTGTAAATCTAAAAATAATGCTGCCAGATAATTATTGTCAGAAAAGCAACCTTGAATGTCACTAACAATAATAGCTAAGGCATCGGTAGTACCTAGACCTTTCCTAAAGGCAAACTGTTGATTTAGTAAGGGATGAAAACGCAACCACCATTCCAACCTATTTTTTATCATCCTCTCAAAGGTTTTGAGAATGCAGGACAGGAGAGAAATAGGACGATAAGAATCTGCTAGATGACAGTTTTTATTGGGTTTTGGTATCGGAACCACGACGATTTTTTTCTACTCCTCAATAATTTATTGATTTACTAATGGCACATTCCAATTCGGCTTCACAAAAAGGAGTACTGAAAAGGTGACTTTGCTGTACTGGGGGTGGTGTTCCCATATATGGACTGACAAAAGATGGTGCACATTTTCGATGAAATTCGTCTAACCATGTAAAATCAGTGCATTTAGGTTGTGCATCTGGAATTGTTTTAATTATACGAGCTTTTTTCCAGAGTTCAGTTGTCGACGTATTTTTATCTAGATTCGATACCCATTTTATCCAGTTGTTTTTAGATTTACGCTTGAAAAGATTTTTTGTCTCCGCAAATATTTTTTTACATTCAATATAATTTTCGAGACCGCTATTCTGATTATATAGCCACAGCGCCTGTTTCCTCTTGTCTATTGCATCGGTACACTCTTGATCCCACCATGGTGGGTGAATATACGAAAGGGTCTACAGACAGGAATAGATGTATCACGTGCTTCATTGATTTTTTCCAGGAAGTACTTATATTTATTTTCCGCTGATTCAAAATTCGGGGGGTTGTCAAATCTATTATTCAACAGCTCTCGGTATTTAGACCAATTAGCCTTATTCACATTCCATTTATATTTGGGATAAATTATGTTCTGTGATTGTATGGAAACAAGTAAATTAATACAAATGACGTAATGATCGGACCCAAGAGTATCAGACGAAACTTTCCAATTTGAAATTTGAGCGATATCTGGAGTGCATATGGTTAGATCAAGCGTTGAAGCCTGAAAGTTAGGGGCAGCAATTCTTGCTGAGGGACCAGAATTCAGAATGACTAAGTTTGACTCCTCACATAATTCCAAAATCTGTCGACCTGTAGCATCCTCTCTGTATGATCCCCAAACAGCTGAATGGGCGTTAAAATCTCCTCCAATAACCACTGAACCAGAAGCTTTAGTGATTATAGCTTCCCAGTCGGATAACGTTGAGTGTACGTTAGGTGGCTTGTAAAGGGAAACAAATGGAATGTGATCATTCCCACTAGATATGCGACAGCCGCAGACCATAATGTCATTGTTAAAAGATCCATCAAACTCAATATGAGAGTATGTAATTCCTTGCCTAACGAGAATAGCTACACCAGCCTTACCATCGCGCCTGTCCGTACTGACCGCGCTGTAACCCTTAAACTTAACCGTTTGATTAGGCTTGAACCAGGTCTCGCTTATTAGAGCAATATCAATATTATTGTGTGAAAGAAAATGAGAGAGACTATTTTTATTCGAAATAGCGGATCGTGCATTCCACTGCATAATTTTAAGCATTTTAGTTATTTACTTAGGTATGTTAGCTTGAGATGGAAACTGTTGGTTTATATTGCTGACAATACTTCCTATTCTATCTCTCAATGTATCTTCGCCTATGTTTTGTATTTCTTCAAAAGTTTTGAAAGTATTCAAAACCTGGTTAAAGATTTTCATAAATTTTTCAATAGTGTCCTTTTCACTACCAACATTGGACCGATATGTTTGACTCGAAATTACAGGATACATACTGTGGGCCGCTACTGAAATGGAACAGTTCACCTGGGAATCTTACTGGGGGTGTATTTATTTTCCGTTTTTTGTTGGCTTCTGACATAGGCGTTACAGATATTTTATTTGTATTGTATTGACGCCTTTGCGAAGATGTATTAGAAGTAGTAGGTGATCTTGATGTACTAGGTAGTACCGGAAAATTCGACTGATCCATATTTAACAAAGGTTGAAAGCGATTATCATTGATTACGCAACTAGCATATGAACCAGTCATTTTATCCTGTGATTTTCATCTTTGGATTGACCACATGTCATACACCTAGAAGTCGAGCTACGGCACTGGGTTGATACATGACCAAAACGTAAACATTTAAAGCACTGAATTACTTTTTGCACGAAGGGCTCAACTGTAAATAGCACACTATTGATGGATAATTCGTTTGGGAGCACATTACCATCAAATGTGATTACTGCGATTTGTCTGGGAACCATTTGTTCCACATCATCTTTAACAATTTTTCTTTTGAGACGACTTACGCTTACTGTAGATGATATATTATTTTTTAAATAATCTTCGTCAAAGGAGGTGTCAACCCCTTTAATAATACCTTTGCGAACCAGCAAGTTGTTCGGAATATTCGCTTGAATGTTTTCTGTTTTAAGTTTTTCATTTGAAATTATTTCATTTGCCGCCTTTGTCGAATTAACTGTCACTTTAATCCTATTTTGACCAACTCTTGAAATATTGACAATGAATGTACTCAGGTTTAATTTTTTGTGAAGTAGATGGCCTATCGGATGTAGCCTACCAATTTTCTCCTTATTCAATTTCTCCATATAAATATAAACATCAGAAGAATACTTATCCGATTGCAAATTGAAGAATCGAGGTAGGGGATTTCCTTCAGTGTGAGTAGAATTCCTACTGTAGGGTTTTTGAAGACGGTTATCTTCATTGTGAGATTCCGTTCCTGAGGTTAATTCCATATTATCTTCCCCGAAGGTTAGATCGAATACTGCTACATTGCCACTAGAACTGCCACTAGTGGTGGGGCCACCCACCCCCCGTAGGTGGTGGTGGCATTTAATTGTCTTAACCCTTAATTACTCGCATGGGGTCAAAGCAGTTTCGCATTCAAAAACGAAGGATTTCCCGCCGACCGAATTTTCGCGCGCCCCCGCTAGCTTGAGACCGCGCGTCGACGTTTGTGTTTTAGTAGCGACGATGTCACAGGAGTCTAAAGACACGTCGTTGCGCTCTTGAGCAGTGACCCCGTGCGACTAATTACGTTACTTTTTTGAAAAAGGTAAGTTGCTTATTTTATGTATTTTTTTGTGTTTTATTGATCCGATTTGTATTATTGTATGTCCAGTTTATAAATTTATTTAATAAATATGTTATGTGTAGTTTTATAAAATAAAAGTACCGAAAAATTACGTTTTGCTATGAGTTTTGTATCTGTTTCCAGAATTCGTCATGGATAGAAGAGAACAAATTGAGAATTGGTTGGTTGAGGCTTCTGATGAAGAACAAGTTGGAGGGTCAAATTCTGAGTCGGAGTTAGACGAGATAACACAAAGCGATCATAATAGTGCTAGTGAAATCGACGAACTGTCCGCACACTCCAGTGAGTTTTCAGACAACGAGGACGACGGCTGTGCAGGGCAGTATGATAAATTCTATTTTACCAGACATAATGGCAGAAACGGTCCTAAACAAAAATGGTCAAAGTCTCCACCAACAAGCTCCACAAGAACACGAAGCCATAATATAATTTTACACTTACCCGGTGTCAAGTCATCAGCGAAATCCGCGAAGACTGCTTTGGAATGTTTTAGTTTGTTTTTTTCTGATGACATTATCAATTTGCTGGTAACATGTACAAATCAGTACATCGAAGTAGTCAGAGGCAAGTTTCAAAGGGAACGTGACGCAAAAGATACAGACGTTGAAGAAATGAAAGCATTGCTGGGTTTGTTGATCATGTCTGGAGTGTTGAGAGCTTCACATCTCAATTTCATAGATCTCTGGGCCACCAACGGAACCGGTGTAGAGATGTTTCGCCTGACAATGAGTTATCAACGTTTTCTGTTTTTACTAAGATGCCTTCGATTTGATGATAGAACAACTCGAGCTGAACGTTTGCAAATTGATAACTTAGCAGCTATACGTGAGATCTGTAACATGTTGCAAGCGAAATTTCAAGAAGCCTATTCGCCGGGTGAAAATGTTACTATTGATGAGCAATTGATTGGGTTCCGTGGCCGTTTCAAAGGCAAAGTTTACATGCCAAGTAAGCCGAATAAATACGGCATAAAAATCCAAGCTATGGTTGACTCAAAAACTTTTTATTTGCTAGCTTTTGAGGTTTATTCTGGAAAGCAGCCTGCGGGTCCATACCAGGTCTCAAACAGCCCTAATGACATAGTAAGACGCCTTGTAGAGCCGATAAAAGGTAGTAACCGTAATATTACCACAGACAATTGGTATACGAACGTGAAACTTGCAACTGAATTATTGTATCCACCTTACAAGCTCACCTTAGTTGGAACACTGAAGAAAAACAAACCTGATATACCTAAGGAGTTTTTACCAGACAGAACTAGAAGTCAATTCAGCTCTCTGTTCGGATTTCAAAAGACACTAACCATGGTTTCATATGTGCAAAAACCAAATCAAGCTGTTGTGTTGTTATCCTCCATGCACCATGGAGCTCACATCGACCCAGATTCAGGTGATCAGCAGAAGACTGAAATAATTATGTATTAAAACAGCACTAAAGGAGGAGTGGACACCAATGATCATTTGTGTGGTACATACAGCGTAGGAAGGCGAACCAAACGATGGCCGTTAGCCATTTTCTTCCATCTTATAAACGTTGCAGGCATAAATGCTCTCGTTGTACATCGGGCAAATACCACTAAATCACGTGCTCACATGAGGCGTAATTTTTTGCGGCAATTGTCCGTTGAACTTGTCCATAATCACCAGAAACGTCGGCTTGATGTCCATTCAACTCCTAAGGTAATAAAGAAACGACTTATAGAAGTGCATGACTTGGACAACCGCGCCCCACCAACCACTGCAAAACGTGGGCGTTGCAACAACTGCCCGCGGAAAAGTGATCGAAAAGTATCGACTAAATGCAAAAAGTGCACAAAATTTGTGTGCAATGATCACTCAGACATATACTGTCAACAGTGCAAGAAAAGTGATTCGGATAGTTCCTAACATAATCATAAAAATTTGCCTTGATCTCTTGATATAAGTACAAATTGTTAATTTTCAACTATTATTTTATATAAGCTTAATTTTTTTCATTAGATAAATATCCATGTTATTTCTTTTAAATATCATAATATAAATAAAGCACTTTAATAATAAAATAGTTTGATTTCATTTTATATTTAATGTATATTAAAAAAATATCCTACAACTTGGGGTCACCTGTGACCCCATGCGAGCAGTTATGTAATGTTCTTCATGCGAGTAATTAAGGGTTAAATATGCCTAATATGTAAATCAACACAGCAAACTGCTATTTGTATAAAAAACTATCCCAAGAAAGGAGTGGAATTTCAGCGCTCCGAGTATGTTTTTATACACACGTGCGATTCCGTACACGGTCGAACAGAAACTGCTTAAATGTGTTCGTCCAACATTGTTCTGCGACATTACCTTTGCAGCATCCAGGGCAGGTGTCCCCGTTTTCTAAAACGTTCACCATCTTCAGAGTGATAATCGAACCAGGATACACTAAGGATGTGTCACTGTCGAACGACACCGACACTTCCTGATGGACCCACTGTATCTTATAGTGTGGCGGAAGCCATGGTAACATATCAACCACCTCCTTTCCTGTACGTTCAAACCGATCCACAGCCTTGCTGATGACAGCACTCTACATATAGAATTTCGGAGTGACAACCCTATCTCTGCCGGTGAGCTGGAAAAAATAGACCCGCCTGACTTCGACCTCCCATCTTAACCATGTCGAACTTAATACATTCATAACCGGCCGATAAGACTTCTTCTCAGTCCTTAGGGTATATATTGTGAAACGATCTACCTGAGGAGACTTTTTGCAGTTCTACTAACCTTAGGCAGTTCAAATATCGGATAAACAAAATTTCGTTAACCTCTTTACAGCAGCCGCGGTCAAACAGTTTTAGGTTGGAGCAAAACTAGTCTCAAAGTGTTTACGATTACTAGTTTTGAGAATGTTCATTTATTCGATGAAAATAAGTAATAATAATAATAACTTTATTTCCATGAGACTCCTCAATAGAGTGTTGAAATTATCAAACATCATGCTAGAAGAAAGTGGTACATTCACATTTAAGAATACATTCAATGAATATAAAGGATTATTCAGAACAAACTCTCTGACCTTTCTTTTAAAAAGTAGTATTGATTGAATACATTTTATTTACTCTGGTAATTTGATATGTAGTATAGGTTACATAATTGTGGGACTTTCTGAAGTCAACGAACAACATTTAAGCTACAGTGGTGAGCTGAAGTGATGGTCTTACATACTGGGTAGACTCAGATCCTCTTTTAAGGTTACATCTCTTAAAATTCTATTCAACATAGACGGCACAGTTATAGATACACAATGAGTTTGCCGTCATTATGCTTGATTTTTTGAGCAGATCAACAAAGGATGCGCGTTTATTTTCGAATAAGGTGGTTCTAATAATTTTATTTTGAAGAACAAATACCTCCTGCACTCTGCAACATAGTTAGGAGTAGAGCAAACATACGCAAAATAATTTGTTTTTAACAATGTCACATTACCAAGAACATTGACAGAAGTATTCCGTTTTATGATGTGACTATCACATCTTACTAAAATACTTTGATCGTTTTTATGCATGTTAAATAGGACCAGAATTGTTTTGCAAAACAGTAAGCATTTTGTTACAAGCTTCAGAAGCTGTTTGGCTCAAATTTGAGATATTATTAGAGTTCAGTGTTAATGTCGTATCACCTGCAAGTAATGTTGTCGTGATACCATGATTTAAAGATATGTCAATATGTAAAATAAATAATAAAGCAGGGCCCAAGGTACTGCGCTGGAGTACCACAAAGTGCAACATGCTTTTCTAGGATCACTGGAAATTATTCTTTAAATACTCATCTTGTTCAAATACAAACTCCTAGACTCCTATGCGTTAACTTCCGCGCTATTAAATACCTCTAGTTCAGAAGGCTTTAGATACCTGACGAAGGTCAAACGTAAATTTTCTGGAAGGGCCAGGCTGAGAGCCTAACAAGTGCAGAGAAATTACATTTTTACCTCTCGGAATGCATCTATTTTCGTATTGATTCATTCATGTCCCTCTGCTCTCCCCTATATCGCTGACCTTGCTTTGATCACAATTAGTCGCTACTCCGATTACATCGCAACCGCTTGTGCTTGATAAAGCGGCTTATGCATAGTTCAGTATTGCTCTCTCTTTCTGTCTCCTATCTTCCGCTAATGCCCTTATAATTATAGTTCCAAAGTTTCTTGTTGATGTCAAGAGCACTTAATTGTTTGAACAATAGGTTAATGGCTACTTAAAGTTCCATCCTGTATGGAATGCATATGTGGAAGTATTGGATATATTTCGAAGATACTGCCTTCCAGGTCGCTTTTAACAGCGTTCATTACTTTGGTCGTGAAAATCTCACTTCAGACTTGTTTGTAAAGGTTAAAGCTTTACTGTGTCATAAGATACCATTTCCATTCATTAGTATAATATAAGGCCGAGGGATGATTCTTTGAGCTTTCTAAAAAAAATTGTCTGCAAATTAACTAGGTACTTCAAGCTATATCCTTATCAAAAATACCACGAATGACCCGTATTGCATTTATTACATCTATAATGGTTCCTTGTAAATTTAGTGTTTAGGGCTCAGCGTTTAGAAATAAAAAACGTACGGAGGAAGATAAATTGATCACCAAACCTAAACCCCTTAGCTCGATGAAAAGCGACCGCCATGTGTTTGAACGAGTTTGGAGATAGTAATTTCAAACAGTATAGATTAATAGGCTTCTCGTCTGATTTCTGGCTCAACCATATGTAGGTGTCTCAAACACTGCACTTCAGAGAGACAGATAATTATCATACCGTCTCAGTCACAATAAGGGTACATACTTAAAAATCCCATGTGATAAATAAAGGAACCTCACATTAAAGCAGCTCCAGTTTGATATGATTTTCGTAAAAGAAAAGCGATTTATAAAGCTTTCCGTGATCTTAAGAGAAGCATTTAAATATATAGTATGTTTCTGTGAGTATTACAAGCCGAATGATTCTGTTATTCAGCAGCAGGTGGCGACACAGGCCAACTCCTACCGAGATGGTGCTAAGTCAACTGAATGCCGCCGAACATACAGTGCTTTTCAAAAGATCCCCCTTCCACTGGTTAGCTGAACATGTCAAGTTAAAAGGCGGTAATTCTGGGTGATGTAATATTTGAACAGACAAGCTGAATAATTCAAGATGGCGACTGGACGCTGCCTTGAAGCTATTTTTAAATAAAATAGAGAATCATGAGGTATCTCATTTTGAAGCTCTTTAGCAATACTTTGTAACTTAAGAGTATAAATTGACTGTCCTTCAAAATGGTTTCGTTTTTGTTTAAAAAATTGACCGATTTTGATAACTCTTCTCAAACGGAATGGTATAACATGTTATAGGGCTTTGAGTTCAAAGCATTTAAAAAAATTTTCAAGAATGACATTTTAAACTTTGTAACTGCTTGTTCGTTATTCTTGCATCAATTTACTCACCCCAAATTTCAGCTTAGTAACATCAACCGTTTAATAGATTCTTATAGGGGCGGTTTTTAAAAAACAGTGTATATCTGTGGTATACGACATAGATCTAATGATTAAATTTACTCAAAGTGGCTTATAGATCATCTTTGCGTTGATATTGTGTTGTTTTGATCACAACTTATCCAACAAATTTTAACCACATATGCACTGATACGAAAGAAGTTGATTTCTCAAAAAAAGTGTAATAAAAAAAGTCCTACAGAAATCGAGATAATAAAATAATACAGTTTAACAGTTCACTTTCTTACAAAATCTGATGAAAATTGTTTCCATTGACTGCAATGCAAGCTTGGGCGCATCTAAATAAATTTCGGCGCACTAATTCAAAT